CACTGGAACACACCGCAAATCCGAGCCGAGCACGTATGAACTGCGTATGCGTGAGTGGCAATAACTCTCCTTACCAGCAGACGGCGGTAGTGTGTATTCATCATTCAAAAGAGGCAACAACCGGAACAACCGGAAGACAGAGAAGAAGAACAGACTCCATGATATAGACAAACAACAAATAGCGTTTTTCTTTCCATTTTCACTCTCGTCCATTGAAAACATGAATGAACAGGAGCTCTATAAACCGATGAGGTGAAATAGCCGTCCGTGTGTGTTCCATCTTCCATTTTAAATCATTTGTTTACCTCCCTCACTTCCGTTAACGCTTCTCATGCACTGATTCGCTAGCTGAACAGCCAATCAGTGTTATCCCTTTGTCCGACTTCCGGTGGTGTTCCCGACGCCGATTCAGCATGTTGAATCGGCAAGAAAAGGCGTCAGGTCGGCAGAAAAGACCCGACGGTGCGGCGCACACCACTCCGAATAGGGCGTGCCCACGCTCATGTTCGGCCCGACTCCCATTTACTGCCGATTTCGGGCCGGTGTATCTGGGCCTTAACTGCCATGAGAAAAATCCTATCAATGTTCCAAAATCCGTCACTAGATGGTGCTCATTGTACCAATACGGTTTATATAATACATAACATATTATTATTATAGTAAAAGGGCTCGCTTTGGCAAAATCCTGATCCAGACAGGCAGCCCTAAATAATAACAAGTAACCATCATGTGTGGTGCTATCTGTAGATGTCTGTCTTATTTTTTGTCGATTTCATATTGTTTTCACAGTGCTGTGAAAATGAATTTCCCCCTGGGGACAATAAATCTAATCTAAACTAATTTCATATTCAATCCCGTACTTGGCGATTGATAACATACATTCGTAATTTACCTCGTTTACAGCACTTTTGTTGTAATACTATGGATTTAGTTGACACATTACGAATGTATGTTATCAATCGCCAAGTACGGGATTGAATATGAAATTNGTTATGAATGAGAACTATAGGTTACTTACGTAACCCCAGTTCTCAGAGTAACTTGTAGTGAGATGTCTCACCAGACGGCCCTCCTTGCTAAGGTGAAGCGAGAAGAGGTGCTTATTTTGAATGACGCTGCGACGTGGCGCAAGGTACTTATAGGGTGGGTGGATTCCCTGACGCTGACGTCAAGATCACCAGCCAATCAGGATTGTCGTAATGAGATTGATGCTTCTGTTTGCTCCGCGATGAGGCGCATCCCATCGTGAGACATCTCAATACATGTTACTCTGAGAACTGGGGTTATGTAAGTAACCTATAGTTTTGTCAATTGTTTTGTTTATTGGTCAAATACTGGTTTCTAATGAGGAGTTTTACTGGAATGAAAGAGCACAGAGTCTAAACAGAAGCAAAAAAGCAGCATAATGCATTAAACCTGACCTTCACAGAGATGTTGAAGTTCATGTGGAGAGGAGGCTTCAGTGGTCTGTCTGCACTCTGTTTAGTTGTGCTATCTTACAATCAATATAGTAAATGTGAGGTAAAGTGTGTCGCTAATGTAACCGGTTAGAACTCGAAGTTGCGATGAGGTCTTAAAATGTATGGAAAGGGTCTTAAAAAAGGTCTTAAAAGGTATTACATTTGACTTCAGGATTCCTGCATATACCCTGTAATTGTATATTAGAAAAAGGCGATAGAAGTGAATAAAGTAACTCCTGCTGTTTGATGGACTTTACTGTCTCTCTCATTGCAGATCAGGACCTGTCACACATGGAGGAGGATGAAGCCTACGACTACAAATTTGTGAAGTGGATGATTAAAGAAAAGGTAAATGATTTAGGTTATTTTCAATCAGCAGTCTACAATATCACATTTAAACCCAGAGTTTTTTATTGTTTCATAATTATTATATTTCATATAGAAACTGGCAGCCATTCCCGTCACAGCGTTTGTTGGAGAGGAGTCCAAGAAGCACTTTGAGAAATATATTCGCCTTTGCTTCATTAAGGTAAATACAAACGTGTCTGATACAAACCTAAAAGACATTAAACTTCATTTTAGCGGAGGTGCACTTTAGTTTTTTTCTCTTGTGAAGAATGCTCATACTGTCTCTCTCCTAACAGCAAGACAGCACTCTGGATGCAGCAGAGGCCATCTTGAAGAACTGGAGGACAGTTTAATATGATGAATTGTCTGAAGACTTCAGCTCGATTTCAGGCAGGAGGAACAAGTCAAACTGAGGGAATGAGATATGACTGTTAACTTAGAAAAGTAAAATACTAACAGTTGAAGTTCATACTTTAATAGCTAAATGCTCTTCCACATGTTGACATACTGTTTGAGAGAATCCTCAGTCACAGCAGGTCCTGTGTGGGACTGCGTTATAAAAACAGGTTTATGCAAGGTGTTCATTTTGTGTAGTTATTGTGTTTTCAGCCTTTTTGATGTGTACTTAGACACTAATTACAAAGCACTTAGTTGGATGGTACTGGTTGCGCTGTTTGGACTTTGTCAAACTTGGCCTTATTTCTCACTGAAAAAATAAATCACAAATAATGCATATTTTGGTTTTTTGAATAATAATTTAATAAAAACCAACGTGATAATAATAGTATTGAATTTTGATTGTTATTTTTTAAATACTGCTTTTGTTTTTCACTCTTAAATCCAATTAGTTTAGTTTTTTTTTGTCATGATATTTCATTAAAATGTTTGTGTTGTGACTTTGATGACACATTTGAAGTCGCTGTTGATAAACACTTCCACATACTTTGAAGGACTCTTTAGGACATATCTGATCTTAATACCATATTTCATCTTAGTTGTGAAGTTGACTGAATTAGTCCAAATGTCTTCCTGTGGCTGACGTGTGTGACATACAGCATTACAGTGGTATGACAACTAGTATTTGATTTAATAATGTTAGTACGGACATTGCAGACATTTGAGTGTTGATCTCAGGGTCAGACCTTCACTAAGGTCCACAAACACATGTCACACTAGGAAAACACAGGTGTCATGAAATGATGTCTGTATTCCATTTAGCACCGGTTAACTTTGACTTTGGTTCAACTACATGATGTCCTTATATTTACCCTGAGCACTTTTGTTGGATATTGCTTTCTGAAGGTTATTTCTGATTTAAAAAAGAAGTATTGACTTATAATATATACTTTTTTTTTTTGAAAGAATATTTACTGAATTGCAAGGTGTCGTTGGGTGGTTTGAAAGGCGCTTTTAAATCAAATGTATTATTATTATATCTATATCACAGCAGACAAGCCAGGTCTAATAAATAAGACTAACAGTTCCCCTACTGACTCCTCTGAATAGAATGCAGTCATTGTCAGGGTTCTCGCGGTCATTAAAAACCTGGAGAAGTCAAGGAAATTCAAAATGCTAATTCCAGGCCCTGGAAAAGTTCTGGAAAACAATATTTTTCCCAGAGTTTTGGAAAGGTCATGGCAATGTAACTAAAGTTGCATCGAACATAATTTATATTTTATCTAATCGCCAAAATAGTAATAATGATAATTAATACTGTATCGTATAGTAATGAAACATAAAATGGCATTTAACTGACGAGGTGTTTTGCTGGTGAGAGATTTGAGTTGCTTTAGCGTGTCGAAGCTAGTAAGCCTACTATTTGATTTGTTGGATAGGCACAACATGTTTCATATGCAGACCTTATTTTCCTGTTCCATGTTCAAATAAACCATTTTCAGTGGTACCCCTGAGAAAGAGTAATGTTTTGGTCATAGAAAATTAGGTAAAGGTCATTGAGAAGTCATGGAAAAGTCATTGCAAATGATTAGTGAAAAAGTGTATGAACCCTGCATTGTTTAACAGTTATTAACACCTGTGAGGTTTCTAATAGGACTTGTCATTATATGTACTAAAAGGTATTTTTGTATGTAACATTTCAACGTTTTGTTTCATCAGTCCCTCACTGTAAAGAATGTTGTGTTATATCCTCCTGACCACTTGAGGGAGACAAAGTACAGACTAACATATGGTTTCGTAGCAGATACATATTGATTAAATATGGAATATTCATCGTTACAATATTTTTCTAACAATAGTCTCAGAATTATCTTAAAATTCAAATTGGAAAGAAAAATGCTCAAAAATGGGGAGGGCTCCAAACATTGTATAGATAAACTGTGCAAAGCAGCTCTAACCAGTTCAATGTTTTTAATTCACTAAACTTAAATGAAGGTAAAACTTCAAAAGTTATTGAATGTGACCTCATCATTTCTTCATAACACAGCCCAGAGGATCAAATGAGCAGACGAGCTCTGTTCCCTAACCATGACGCGGTGGGCACAGTTCACCGAAAGAGTAATCACTCAGAAATGGGTATGCAAAGAAACAGATCTTTTGTCCATGCAGACAGGTGTAATGCATTTCTGTGGTTATGCATAAACCTGGCGCCTTGTTTCCATGACATCATGATGCTGTTTGAATTCAGACGTTCACACAGTGATAGTGTACATGTTAATGTGGAGGTGAGAGGGGGCATTCCTCACCTTCCCCCTGTTGTTCTGACAGAACAGAGACGCTTCATCCCCACTGAATGATAATAATAACAGAATCATTTCATGCCCAGTAGCTCGGAACGTTAACTATTAACTCTGAGGCTACAATGAAAAAAACATTTCTGCAGATTATGTTTCCTTATAACTAAGTTGCAATACTGGGGTTTACTCTAGGAGCTGGAAGTATAGATAAGATTTATGTTTGGCATTTATTGTGTCAAATTGCAGAGACACTCAGACATTGAAGACCATCATTCATCCCAGTGCCATTATGTTGCATGAGCCTTCTGTAACCAGGAAATATCTGCCTTTTTTCAAATTAAAGACAATTCCCCTATTATACAGTAATCCTCTGTCCAATGTTTTAAGAGGCCCGGAACTTCCCTCTCCTGTAATGTGTTATAGTGTTATTTTGTGCATGTAAATGGTCTGCAAAGGCTCAAATCCTTGTGTTGATACTACAAACTTGTCTTACATCCAGGACATTGTCAAACCACACATTCCAGCCAGTGCACTTGGCTCTGCATCAGCCACTCTCCGGCTCCTAAATGGTGGAATGAGCTCTCCATTTATGTAACGACAGCAAGTCTACACAAATTCCGTCGCAAACTGAAAAAACACCTGTTTTGCTTGTACCTCTGCCAATAAATAAATAATCATTGAACATTTAAAAAAGTAGCAGTTTCAAACTTAATGCACAGCACTTAGTCTGACTCATTGAAGCTCATACAGTATAGTTGCACTGTTCTTGTTGTTCTGAGTTTGAATCTTTATGGTTTGTCGCTCACATTGTAAGTTGCTTTGGATAAAAGCCTCAGCTATATGTAATGGTAAACTTTGGTAAAATAAAAACCAAATACTGCAAATATAATATAGTATATAATAATAATAATAATAATAGTATAATTAAAAAACTGGTTGGATTTGTGATGAAGGAAACTTAAGCAGAATCAGAATTCCTTTATTTATCCCACAAAGGGCATGCACATTGTATTTAAGTAAAGACAATTAAAATGTATAACAATTTACCAAGTACACATTTCGGTATAAATCATGGATGATCACCCTGCTGAATATATATTATATCAATATATTTGTATCATTTTCAGCACACATTTCTAATTATATCTGATAACCCTGACAATTCTGGTCTCTTCTATATTGGATTATTCATTTGACTTCATATCATTTCATGTTTTGTCTCCTTTGAACGCCTTAGTCACACACAGTCACTGTGTTCTGGATTTACTGATTTCTCCTTAGCCCAGTTTTTGTTGTACCCAGTATCTAGTATTACCCAAACACAACATGTCATATCGATTGAATTGTTCAAGTGTGGGAATATTCTGCACCATAGAACTGTAGTGTAGTATGAAAACTGGGGCTGGGAACACAACAACTGCTTTAAAAATGTGAATAGGATTATTATAGGCTGCAGTTATTAGACATATATGATGTGCAGTTAACAGATCCCTGTGGGTTAGATTGTCTGTCTGCTTATTACCATCATAATTTATGTTAATTATGATTATTTTGCCAATAATCTAATGTCACGATGCTGCTATGGAGGCGGATTTAGGTTATTGTTGCCCTTGAAATGAGAGCAGATGTTTGTGGTCTCAAATGTTGCCTCTAGGTGGCCATGTTGATCATGTTCTGAGACACAGCTGAGCTTTGTGCCCTCTTCCTGATCCAAGAACACATTTTGCCAAACAGCGTCTGATGAAGACAGTGCAGAATATGGTCAAAATCATATTCATTAAATAAATGCACTCCCTCCTGTTGAGGGTCATACAATATATAGATTTTAATACAATACAAAAATGGCTTAAACTACTACTCATTTTCAGGTTCATATTTTCCGTGTCTCTGCTGCGCTTTATCGTTCTCATACTGCCTGTGCTGCAGCACCTCTCTTCACCCTCTGTCTGAAACCAGAGCCCAGTCTGCTCTGATTGGTTAGCTGGCCGGCTCTGTTGTGATGTTAGTGATGTCACAATGTTAGGAAGAAAACAAAAGAATCCAATGGAGTTAGAGGCCTCTTTAATGGAAGCAGCAGAGGTTGACTATTCCTGACTTTTATTTTATATCATAGGAAACACAAAAACTATTCTGGATCCTACATATCCCATAATTCATCTCAATGGCACTTTTTCTTCTATATCTTATATTTACATATATATATTCTAAAGCACTTCTTTCTAAACCCTATATATTTTCTCCTGTTTGTGGTCCAGGCTGTTTGTTGAAAATGAGCCAAGATAACCCCGATGACATCACTATGACATCATCATCAGTTAACTAATGTGTCAAATTGGGGGTGTGTGTCTCTTTTATAACTCTTGGAGTTGTTCCATAAGTCCAGGAAACAAAAACTGTTGTTTAGAGCATCATCAAAAGACAATTGTTTGTCATTAAAACCATGTCACAGTTTAATTACATTTACAATAAAACATTACAGATGGACTGGAGGGATCACAGATGCTTCAATCCTCATAAACAATCACAAAGACCTTTATATTAGACTAATTCCACAGCATCTCTCACAACATGTTGTATTGTGCCCGAGACATCAATATCTGTGAGAATGTGAGGGGTGTAGCACTGCCCCCCCCCCCTGTCCGCTCCCACACAGGCCATATGGCCGCTCTACTGCCAGCCCTGCTCTCTGCACACGGCCCAACAGCTTGGTGGACACATAATTAATTTGCTTAGGCGTCTGCCATTTATTTCCAACCTACATTTTGTTAATTGGACAGAGGAGGTTAAAATCCAATGAGTGTCTCTGGGTTTGTTAAGGCCACTAATTGAGCTGAATTTACAAGATAGAGGTTGCTTCAGGGGGTGTGGGGACAGGGGGACATCAGAGGGGTCAGTGGGAGGAATGTGGTGAAAAATCATAAGTTTGTATTAATAATTTCAGAAGAGCATGCGCTGAAGTCTGCAGAGGACAAAATGCTGATGACCACAGATGAATGATCATCATTTAGAAAGGACTAATCTTCCCAAAAGGAAAGACATGCAGACATGTCTTACATGAGTTGTTGCATTGCTTATATATGTTGTGCTGTGT